TGGGACATAATAATCAACTACATTGTATATTGACAAAATAAAAATAATAAAAAAAATTTATAAAAAATGAATAAGGAACTTGAATAGATATTTCTCCAAAGATACACAAATGTCCAACAAGCACACAAAAAGATGTTCATCATCATTAGTCATTAGGAAAATGCAAATTAAAACCACAGTGAAATACCACTTCACACCCACTAGAAGGTCTGTAATGGTAAAAATGGTTAAGTTACTTCCAAAATGTTTTTCTCTATGGGTTTATGATCTCACAATGCTGAAACACTAAATTCCTATTATAATTAAAGTAACTGTTCTAAGTTTGGTGTGTAGGTTATTTGTTCTGTTCAAGTGAACAGATTAATAATTCATGTGCAAGCACAATTTACAAGCATTAAAGAAAAAAAAAACAAGCATCTGAAGATAAGAGGGAACGGCAAAATTATGTAAAAATCCCTAAGTCGAATTTTATGAAGCTGCTACAAAACATATTTTCAGAAAATATCTAAAAACCTGTGCAAATGATTATTCTAAATGGAATAGGTCAGGGCATGAAATTACGTATGCTAAATTATCCCAGAAGAGCTTAGAAAAAAGTAAAGGAAATAATGAGTGGTCATATTTTGCTGTCAACCCTAGGGAATGGGAGCTGGGTTTACAGTTGATTTTTTTCCTCTTCATGTCAATTTTCTGAATTTTACACAGTGTCCACGTTGTGCATGTAATTCTTTTGCAATCGGGAAAAAAGAAAAAAAGTCCTCAAGAAATCTGGGAATGACAATGAAAGTAAAAATTACCTAGATTGGTTCCAGATGGCAGACTGAGCACTGAGCATTAGAGCGTTTCTCTTGTCCTACTCCAAATACCCTTACATGACAGGAAAGGCTGGCTTTTTAAATGTGTGTGTGTGTGTGTGTGTGTGCGCGCGCACACACACACACAAATACACAAAGAATAACTACATAAGTGCACGGGAAAAGAGAAAAGGCGAATTACTGGAAAATGGAAAGCAGATGGAGCAGGGGCGCTGAAGAGGGCTGGAGATGGAGTAGGGAGTACGGAGCCTGGGGGCCCAGAACAAGAGGCAAGGACCCTAGGAGGTGAGGGAGAGGTGGTTGTGGGTTGAGAAGCTCCAGATTTGGGGGAAAAGGAGGGGCCGGGCGCCCAGGAGCACCTCTCCTGCACAGGGCGGTAGTGGGAGGTGGTGGCTGGGGCGAGGTGGCGGCGGTGAAGGGGAACGCCGCGCGCTGTTTGGCAGGAAGGGGAGGCCTCTGTCCTTGCAGGAAGCTGCGCTACGAAAAGAGGGAGGAGACTGCGGCGGCGGCAGGGGCTGGTGGA